ATTAGTTTATATATTATTTAAATTTATATTTAATTAACATACTAATTTATTTTTTATAATTGAAATTAGTTAATTAAATGTTTCCTAAAAGTGGATTATTATGTTTTTTAAGTTAAAATTAATGGTTTAGTATTTATCCAAGATGACGTTATTTGGGATTTGCAAATCGTTTGAGATGCTCATGTCGGAAAGCTATGGTACGTTGTTTAATTTTAAAGGTTAATTAGACGTTAAGGGGGTAATTAGACTTGGAAATTGACCATGGTAGTTGACTTTTGTCAGTACAAAATTATTAAATTTAATATTGTGGTATAAAATTGTAGGTTGTTTATTGAAAGTTTGCATTAACCAATCTACATATAAGTGAGTTTTTATGAGATTTTAAGTTGAAATGCATGTTATGTACAAATTATTTGAGTATGATATTTTTTGGGTTGCATTTTACGTACATGTCATAGGTTTGTTGTATATACACTACCAAAATGAACCTCTTTTCCGGCGGATTTAAGGCGGATTTGTCCGCCGGAAATTGGGTTTTCCGTCGGATATGTCCGCCGGAAAAGAGGGCGCCAGTGATTCATTTTCCGTCGAGTTTTCCGGCGGATGCTTTATTTTTCCGGCGGATTTCGGCCACCGGAAATCTTTCGCCGGCTTAGTTAAGAAAATTTGGTTTTACTTGATAAAAAAAAAAATTCAAGTTTACCGGCGGACAGATCCGCCGAAAATTCGCTGGAATTTTTTTTTAATATTTATTTAAATGTTTATTTAGTTTTAAATATTATTAAAAAAAATTCAATATTGCCGGCGGATGTTTCCGCCGGAAATCCGCCGGAAAAAGAATTTCATTATAAAAATTTTATTTTTTGTTTATTTTTTCAATAAATATTTAAAACCTGTAAATCTGTAAAATATGGATAAAACTAAAAAATTAAAATGCAACCAAATATCATACATTGATTAAAGTAAACAATTGTTACAAAACATATACAATTTAAAGTATCACACAATGTTACAAACAAACTAAATTGTTCCAAATAAACAAACGATATTCAATTAGATAGCGGTAGGAATTGTGATTGACGGAGTTCGTTAACCAAAGCAGTCATATCATTCATTTGTTTCAGAAGTTGCTCCTCCACCGTCTGTCGACGCTGATTTTCTTCTGTCCAGAACTTGGGCCTCTAAGTTTACAATTTTCTATAAAATAAATAAAACGTTATAATATTTAATCTGAATTATAAACTAGGTCGATAAACATCATCAAATATTAAAAAAAAACACATACCCGCTTTTCCGAAGACGATGAATCAGCTTCCGTGTAGTTCCCGGTCAAGACACAATTGGGATATTGGTTGTACTCGAACCCAAATAGACGACCTTTTTTGCTTCCTCCAACTGCTTGCTCCCACAGCTCTTTATCAACTAAGGGATAGGTAGAGGGATCATCGTCGTATCTTTGGCTAAGACCCGTTGAATACTCATCTTATGTATGGTTTAAAAAAGATTGCAAGTTAATTTTGACAGCATGACGGCTGTAAATGGGACGTTTCCAGGCAAAATAATAGTGATAGATATGAAAATTGTATCCAAAACAATYCTAACGTTTGCCCAACAATTGGCAACCCAAACTAAAGCATGATATATACGTAATTTCTAACGTAAATAATCCTAATGTTTGCCCAACAAATGGCAACCCAAACTAAAGCATGATATATACGTAATTTATAACTTAAACAATCCTAATGTTTGTCTAACAAATGGAAATCCAAACTAAAGCATGATATATACGTAATTTCTAACGTAAACAATCATAATGTTTGCCCAACAAATGACAACCCAAACTAAATAATGAAATATATACGTAATTTCTAACTTAAACAATTATAATGTTTGCCCAATAAATGGCAACCCAATTATAATAGATAGATATACTTACCATGATTTGGCTACACTTAGTGGTCACGTACCCCCCGAATCCGTAGATGCGACATCTCCACTCGACCTCTTCTTGTGTGTGTAATCGAATAATTCCACAACGGTCGGGGGCACGCCATCTTTTGCTCGTGTCTACAAAGGTCAAATTATACAAACATGTGTTAATTATAACATRTTAAAAATCAAGCTACTAAATTAATGGGTTTTAGGTTCTACCAGACGAGCACCATGCTCCGAAAATGGTATCGATCCACCGTGTGTAGCGAAACTTGGCTATCACGGTTCTCACGCGCCACATTGGAAACAGCCTTCCAATTATCATTGTTCCAACGATCGACCATCTGGACCCACACATATGAAGATATCTAGCTGGGGGAAAATTCTTCAACACACTCATATCCCGGTGGGGGTCCGTTTCATCGTACTGAGGATACCTATTCATCTTTGCTTTTCCCCCAGCTTTCTTCCTCGCGGCACTCATGTTATCATTATACAGCTTGGCCGACTTTCTCTCCCATATCTCCAAGATCTGGGCGTCCAAAGCCGGATCCTAAGTATAATAGCCATGTACGTAAAAGTTTAGGCATTATTAGGTTCAATACATAAATTATTATAAGTTGAATATATAACACAAACCTGAAACCGCTCCCACATTCGACGTCTCACGTCCTTTGGAATTTTTCCCAACTGGTCCATGGGCCGTCAAGCAGCTCTCGGTTGATCTTGGTGATCCGCCGGATCACTTTGGTGTCACTGAAACTATATAATGACAAATTGAATTAGCATCAATACAAATAATATATTTTTATCAATTAAAGCTCAATACTTCCATTAAAGCCCAATACGATCCATTAAAGTCCAATACGATCCATTAAAGCCCAATGTTTTCCACTAAAGACCAATATGTTACATTAAAACCCAATATGGTTCATGAAAGCCCGATACGGTTCATTCAAGACCAATACGATCAATTAAAGCCCAATAGGATCCATTAAAGCCCAATACAATCCATTAAAGTTC